TAAGCTGACATAATTCAACCAGTTGGCGATTAGGATCTGGGAGCGGAACTGGGCTGTAAGAATAAAGCGTCGGTACCTTTGTTCTAGTTCGTCACAGCCTGTCCAGATGCAGAGATTATAAAGGTCTGCAAATTAATTTAAAAGCCAGAGAAGTATTGCTCGTCAATAGCGTCATTTAGGAATGGATTTAACCGTTAAGCCGCGCCCCGTTAGAACCCTCTAATGCCCACGCATACTTCCAGGGTTCCCAAAATTAGCACCTTATAACATATGATTCTCTTAAAGGGAGATAATGAGCTTTCTTTTTTCTTTAATAAAAATTACTCGACATCTATACTATTTCTACTGTAGTTTCTATAAAATATGAAAATTTCCTAGCACATTTTCGTATGTGAAAAAGGTTTTTATTTTTGCAAAAAAGAAGCAGTACTTGCAGTACTTGTAACACCCACCGAAATGCGTTGTCCTTCTTGTCCCTCTCTATAAAAAAACGCAGTATATGGCGCTTTTGTTTCAAACAGCGACGCTTGGGTTTTTGTTTATGTTATCGCCTTGTCGTTGCTTGGTTGTAAGGATTCTAATTTGAATTAGAGTTAATTCGGTTTAGAATTAATTAGATTCGTACATAGTGCCTACTCTTCTTTGTTTCCAAGTATTATTTTGCGCCACAAATGAACGGCATGCGCCAGAAACGCAGCCAAATCTTGCGATTGCGACTACGAAATTCATTATTTTGGCCTCAGAGCCTGAAGCGAAAAATACAAGCATATTTATTTCAAAAAGACTTCAGGTTTGTCGAACGGTGTTATGAGAATTTTGATAACAGTACTGCATAAGTTTTTCAGTGATGCCGCAAAAGTGTTGTATCTATCTTCTTTTATTGTGCAGTCGGCGGGACCGATTCAAAATTGAGTCGTTGCTACTAAAATAACAGCATATGGCCTCAGATGATGAACAGGAAAAATAGTTGCGTAAATTTAGACATAAACCACCCCCAAACCATGAATATCTTTTGAAGGCACTATAGACGACCATTAACTAACTAGATGTGATGAAGATCAAATGTAATGAATACGCTCATTTTACAAAATTACATGCAAGTACCAAAAAGTGATGTAAGTACTTATTCAACGGTCATTTTCAGCGCTCCCCGCTAACGTGACTTCAAGTTGAGATATTTGCGGCAAGGTACCGCATTGAGCAAAATGGTTTTAATTTACATTATAACTTGTTGTGTTTTGTCAGAAAATGATCCTAACTCAGATTTTGTGGAAAAAGGTCATTATCTCCCTTTAAGGTCCGCTTTTTGAAATCTGAAGTAAAAACATTTTTCGGAGCTCAGATTTCGGAAATAATTTTTTATCACATAGGGCATTCCAGTTTGTTACTTTTAGTGGTATTTAACGACGCAGATGGAAGTAAAGTCAGTGCTGAGATCTGTGTTATATAATAATTTGAGTGATAAAAGGGCAGATAAAATGTGCAGAACGCAAAATAGGAATCCTTTTCGTGCGCCTCTTATCAGAACATTTTTTAACCCTTAATTGGCCTCCTTCTTGTATCAGAATATCATTTCATTCGGTGCCTCGGGAACATTCGCTAACGTGGGTATCTGCCTGCGAGCGCCTTCTATTTAGTTATTTTTCACTAAACAGCGCATAGCACATATATTTCATAATTCAGACATGCGGGCGCTCCTTCTCAAACGTACACTGAAAACAAGTTGAAAGAACGTTATGCAAAAGCATCTTAAAATATTCCACACTTAGGTTTTTTGGGTATTAGGGTAAACTGGCTTAGAGGCGAAGCAGAACGTCTGGTTCATGAAGAACACACACAGTGTTTCACATAGACCGAAGACACGTGCTGCTTCTTCGCGTGCAATCTTAGTGGCCCCAGGGGGGCTTCAACTCGACCAACACCGGTTCTTCTTCGTTCTCCCTAGTCACGTGATATTACGTCACACCAAGCGCGCGAAAGATAAACCCTTTGAAGGTTTTGCACGAACTAGCATCGGGTTTAAGAAGAAGGGGTTGTGGTTTAATCAGTGTAATGGCTTTCATCAAGACCACGCCCGCGGTACCACGTTCTAGCGTCCACCGGAAGCGATCGCCATTTTTCGATCGCGTTGGATCACGCTTTGTGCAGTGACGAGCGGCTGGTGCAAGATTGGGTGAATGGCAAGTAATCAAATATTGAAGAACTGAAATAAGGTTAATTTTTTGCTTGTCAAGTGTTGTGTATTATTTATATTACTTGTGATTGACCATAATAAGCAATATCACAACGCTCTTCAAATGCATGGATGAATGCATTGGATGAAGACAATTCATAGGTATGCAAGACCAATCAATGCAGTAAGTATTTAGGTATATGTTGTATAAATGCCCCATAGCTTAAATTATGCATGTGGTATTTAGACAAATCTTCCAAATGAAGATAAACCAGGAATAGAATCAGCTTGCCATTTTGGGGTCAATTGATTTAGGTATAAATTTGGCTGATTTTAATAAACATATGTTCGTGCTGATTAGTGCAATATTTTATCTATACTGCACTTTATATGTCAAGTGCATTATTTTACTTTTGGAGTAGGCTCATGGTCTCTGAAGTCAATCTAAGTTTCTTTACTCCCTGCCTGTTGAATAACGCATCCGCCCGACTCTTCATTCTAGGGGACGAGGCCATCTCCGCTCTGATTGAGGCCCTGGAGTCTGAGGAGAGCGTCCTGGCGCGCGCCGCGCGGAGACGTCGACATCGTCGAAAACGCTGGCTTGAGGCTGGTGGTGGAAGGAGAAACTGTATGTGATTTGGGAGAATGCGATATCGCCACCCGGCTGCTGACATGGGCGATAGCGCAAACATACAGTGTTTGTGAAAACATCCACTTGCTAAAGCTAAAAATGTGTTCATATTTGGCTCCTGGAGTTCTTTGGCTTGGATGTGTAAGGCAAGTGACGCGGCCGAATGGAAAGCGTTCCTGCAGGCTGATTGCGGGCTGATCGCAGACTGAATGCGGGCTGGTTGCGGGCTGATCGCATGGGCTGGTTGCGGGCTGGTTGTTCCTGACTGGAGACTTGCAGGCTGATTGCTCAGAGTAAAGAGGAAGGTAATACATTTTAAGGTGTATCAAGTACTGTGTTTGCGCAGCAGATGTGACGGCGCAGGTCGATAGCCATGCATGGGAGGTTCAATAGACGAATGAACGGGGATTTTGCGGTATTGCAATAGAACTGAAAGGGTTCTACAACCGATATTCAGAACACAGGGTGGTTTCCCTATAAACCTCAGGGACTTCTTCACAGACCCTTTGGGGTTCTTATCTAGGTGCTAAGAACGCTCTTATTATAAACCCTAAACCTCATAAGAGTCTTTGGAAGAATCGTGTGGATTCTTTTGATGAGAATGCAAAGCCGTCTACGTGAAGAACCATGGAGGTTCTGAAAAACGGTGGCATAACATTTTACCCCACAGGGGTCTAAATACCCCTGTACGTTCTTAACGTTCTTCCAAAGTGTTTTCAGTGTAGAGGATATATAGAGATTTATAAGTGATAAAGAAATGTAGACATTACGGTTGGCTCGGTAAGTGTTCGAAGTGATGCATAAGCCTAGAGAGCCTGCCCGTAGTTACCACATTCGCCGCAAGGTGGCCGACCCGCGACCCGGTGCTGGGTCGCGGGCCGGGGCAGTCTGCGTTGGTGCTCCGCACGGTCCGGGTGCTTCCGACCGACCCGCCGGTATTCGAGGCGGTGTCTCTCCTCATGGAGACGGAAGTCAAGGAAGTCAAGGAAGTGGTCAGCAACCTCTCGGCAAGGTTTGCTAAGCTGGAAGAGGCAGTGGCAGCTATTAGCCAGCAGCTATCATACGACAGCGCCGGTCGTCGGCTAGTCGTAGAAGACGGCCATTCACAGGCTCAAGACGCAACTCCCGGTGAGTTCGAACTGGGGTCTTCAAGGGACCTGCAAGCGGATTTTAAATCAATCCGAGATAAAGTGGCCAAAATCAAGCTGCCTGCCGACCTAGTCGTAGGAGATTCGAGAACTGGGGTAGGACGGAACGACTGGCCGAAGTTCCAAACTATTCAGCGTTGTGCCAGATTTCAGGAGACAACTTTAAAGATACTGTCTCAGTGTTCAAGCGCCAATTCAGAGTCGGTCATCGCTGACGTCACGACAATTGCGCTTGCGCAGCTCAGATTTTTGCAAGAAGAGTATACCAACCTTCTCGTGGCGAATCAGTTTGACGACGGAACGACGAAGTTGTTCCAGACGCTCCAGAACAACCCAGCGTCGTTCTCGCCTGGAGCGCTGGAAAATCTCCAGCGGGCTGTCTCTATCTCCGGAGCGCGCCGCCAGGTCAGTGCCGCTGACAGATTCCGCGGCCGTGGTGGCTCGTGGCCGAGAGCTCCAATGTGGGGCCGTGGGAGCTGGCGCCAGGAGTTCCCGAGCCCGGCCGGCCGGTACGGTCCGGCTGGAGGCGGCGCCGGCTCGGCCGACTGGCGGCTCGGCCGCGGGCGTTTCGGAGCGGCCTCAGCTGGGCCGCGCGACCTGGCCGCTCGTCCGCCGGCCGGTGACGGCCCGGGGGCATTCGCTGAATAGAGGGACCCGTGACTGTGAGTATGCCACTGGCAAGGGACGCATGGGAGGACATTGGTGCGTCTGAAACGGTTCTTGATTGGATTGAACATGGTGTTCCTATACAATTGCGTGAAGTGCCAATACGCCGTATTTTTAACAATCCGGTTTTCACTCGGGAGGAGACAAAATTCGTGCGTGAGGAACTGTCGTGTCTTGAGGAAAGGGGTGTTATTCAGAAAGTGGATGTCATCCCGCATTGTGTATCTCCGTTAAAAGTTGTACCTAAGAGTAATTCAAGGTTTCGTCTTATTTGTGACCTGCGTTATGTTAATGCCCACTGTGACGTGCCCCGGTTTTCGTCTGAGGAGTATCTGTGTTACCCGAAATTGTGAGAGACGCTGCTCTTGCTGTTACTGTTGACTTAAAAGATGGGTTTTATCACTTTCCGATTCACGCGGATTTTCGTACTTACCTCGGTTTCCAATACGAGGGAAGTTGGTATGTATGGTGTTTCTTACCGTTTGGCTGGGTTGGAAGTCCGTACTTCTTTCACAAATGTATCCGTGCTGTGATAGAATATCTGCGTGGTGTAAAACGGCTTTCGGTCATGGCTTATGTAGATGATTTTTTGCTCACATCAACGCACAGTAGCATAGAAAATGATGTAGAAGTGTTCATGCAAACATTACAATCACTGGGGCTGTGTGTGAACCGACAAAAGTCATGTTTTATTCCTTCGGCTTCAGTGACCTATTTGGGGTTCGTTGTCCATTGTGCGTCAGCTGGCAATCCGCCAAGCATCACAGTACCTAAAAATAAGGTCGCCAAGTTGAAGCAGGACATTTCTAGAATGTTGAAACGTCCCACTGTGTCGGCACGTCTGCTTGCCCGTATTGCTGGCAGATGCATCAGTATGATGGCGGCGGTTTTTCCCGCAAAACTCAAGCTTCGTAATGTTTACCGGCTTCTGAATTCTAGGCGTTCGTGGGACGAGGCCATGGCCTGGTCGCCCGAGGCCAGGGAGGATTTGGCGTGGTGGATTACGTCACTGGACGGGTGGAACGGGCGGCAGCTGGTGCCGCCGGCTACCTGCGACTTGCAGCTCTCCACCGACGCGTCGGAGACGGGCTGGGGCGCCACCCTTTCGGCGCCGGTCGAACAGGCCGCTTCAGGCTGCTGGGGTCCGGAGGTGAGCTCGGAGTCGTCCAATTTTCGGGAATTATTGGCAGTCTATCTAGCGCTGCTGTCGTTTCGCGATTCGCTTTTTGGGAAATCACTCGAGATTCTGTCGGACAATGTAACAGTGGTAGCGCTTATTAACAAACTGGGTTCATCCGATAGTCGGCTGGACGCAATTGCGCAGAACATTTGGTCGTTTGCCTTCAAGTATCAGCTTATGTTAGTCGCTCACCACATTGCAGGTTGTTTAAATGTATTTGTATTTGTATTTGTATTTGTATTTGTACATACGGTCTCCATTGTATGGCTTTTCAGACCGCGATTGATGGTTCATAGCACACTTAGCCTATGATTGTTACAAAAAAGTACATGACGTAATATTCACATGAAATGCAGTAAGGCACACAAATAAAGCTCAGGCAGCATTACATCACACATGGCGACATACACTGACAGGATGGTTCACTCGGTCAACGATCGCTGGTTCCATTGCGCAATTGCACGGTAAGTGAAAAAACGCCTCGCAAATTCTGTGTGGATGCGAGGCAATTGTAACAAGCCCGCGGAAGTGGAGCGCGTTTCTCTGCTGGATATCTCGCGTCGGTGAACTAGCGAGTTCTGCAAGTGACGTGGAGCATACGGGTGGTACATCAGTCGATCCACGAATAAAACATCTCGCTTGCTGATCAAATCATCAATAGTGGGCCATGCAAGCGAACTCAGTAGTGGTGAGACATGTTCCGATTTACGCTTACAAAACACAATACGAGTACAATGATTTATCACTCTTTGAATGCGACGCTTCTGGGTGACACTGCAACCACCCCATACACTCAGACAATACAGAATATGAGGAAAAATCAGTGCCTCTATCAAAAATGCCTTTACCTCCGTTTACCTCCGTTGAAATGTGTGTCCCGATGCCCTATCCCGCGTTCCATTGCGACACGAGTGGACACTGCATTCTGCCGTGTTCCAGCAGTTGGAGAGCATATTCGGCCCGCACACTGTGGACCGGTTCGCGTCGCTGTCAACGGCGCAGCTGCCAGTCTACAACAGCAGATTCAGGGACCCCGCTACGTCAGGGGTCGATGCGCTGGGACAGAGAGACTGGCACGAGCACAACAACTTCGTGAACCCGCCGTTTCGGATGGTTCCCAAATCCCAGAGTGTTGGATGTAGTGGAGGCGCAGCGGGCCACGGCCACGCTGATCGCGCCTCTGTGGCCGGGACAGCCGTGGCTGGATCGGCTGCGGCGTCTCAGCATCTGCCCGCCGCTCCGGCTACCGCCAGTGACTCTGTGCTGTCTGCCTCTGCTGCCGTACCAGCAGATAGAACCGCACCGCAACACGCGGTGGACGCTGTTCGCCTGGCGGATCTGTGGAGAGCCAGGTTAGAGGCTAAGGGCTGGTCGCCGGCGGCACGAGGTCAGTTCACGCTTTGCCTCGCAAAATCGACGCTGGATAATTACGATCGGTACATCAACCTTTTCAGAGACTTTTGTGCGGAACGAGGTGTCGATTTTCCCCAGTCAGATTCAGCAATAGTGGCTGACTTCCTGGTGACTCAGTGTGGTAGGTCTGATCGACCGCATTCAACCCTCCGTTGTATTTCTGCTGCTCTGGCTGCTATGTACGAGGCATGTGAGGCAATGATTCCCCTCCAGGATTCATTGATAGCGCGACTGTCCCAAGCTATTGTGAAAAGTGGTACACGCAGGCCCATTGCACGGTCCTCTGTCATGGATATCTCTGCCTTTGTCCGTTTGTTTGAGTCATGGCCCGGGAACGATTCACTGTCGGTGAAATTACTGCGCCTGAAAACTATTACCTTGCTGGCAATCGCATTGATGTTACGGCCATCAGATATCGCTCCGCTGGCGATGGGCTTCCATGCGGGCTCAGGCGTGATGGAAAGATTTGTGCTGACGACGGATCAGATTCAGTTCAGGTCAGATGGTAGGCTAGATGTGACTTTTCTCGGCATCAAAAATGACGCTCAGAGGACAGGATTTCGGGTAACGCTGCCTCCTAACCCTGTGGAGTCGGTAGATCCGGTGGCGGCTCTGCGTGTTTATTTAGCTCGGACCGAGTCGTGTCGCTGTCCGACATCGAAGCCTGTTTTCCTTACTTTAGTTCGGCCGTTTCAGGCAGTGTCAGCGAGTACAGTGGCTTCTATCCTGCAAGATGCTATACACTTAGCGGAGAAATTCGGGTTGGCGAAAGGCCACACTCCGAAAGATTTTCGGCCCACTGGTGCTACTCGGGCAGTTGAGCTAGGATTCGATGCAGATGACGTGCAGCGACTTGGAAGGTGGAAAACGCGATCCGTTTTCCTCGACCATTATGTACACAACAGCATAGCTCCGTCTTTCACGCAGCGAATGTTCGAGTGAGCCGTATGTACAGGGCACAGGCGGTTATGGGTCTCTCTATGTGATTGCATTTGTATATGTATGATATGGGATATATACATGTAATACATGCCTGAAGCGTCGAATGTGTGTAACGTTGGTTTTAAGAAACCGTAGTTACCACATTCGCCGCAAGGTGGCCGACCCGCGACCCGGTGCTGGGTCGCGGGCCGGGGCAGTCTGCGTTGGTGCTCGTTAAGTTTCTGTGTGGCTTAAGCAGAAGCTCCTGTTTCCGTTGATGTAGGCTATAGTCGGTGTTGGGAGCGAGGTTCGTGCGGAGTTACCTGTATCGCGGATGATTGCATTTGTATATGTATGATATGGGATATATACATGTAATACATGCCTGAAGCGTCGAATGTGTGTAACGTTGGTTTTAAGAAACGTCGGACTAGAATAGATGCAGATGGTGATGTTGGCTTACCTCCACGATAGCCGGCGAATCTCTGGTGACTGAAACGCTCAGCCTGTGCATGCCCAGTTAGGATTTTGACGGGTCGTGCTGGTCCTGAAGTCATTGACGCTGGCGCAGTGCGACAGCCACGCATTGACCAGTGCGGTAACCAGGGGTAGCCAGTAACAGTTGCTAGCATTAGGCCAAATGGGCGCTCAAAAACTACCATCCCATAGGGTTCCCATGTTAAATCGATCTGGTCTTCCTATCCAGTAGCCTTTGCTATTGTACTTAGCGGTATACATGTCACTCACTTACCGGGGTTACATGAGCGATCCGTTCCAAATACGCACTACGCTAATGCGCATCAGCTCCCCACAAACGGATCTACGGCACCGGTTACATGAGACTAATTCGTTTTATCTACGTCAAACGGATCTTGTTTGGCTCACCCGGGCTCACTCCTCGACGGCCGGTAATTCGCATCACAAACGGAATAGGATTAGCGTACAGTCATGGCGCAGTTGCGGCATTTACCGGGACGACTGAGCTAAATTTTAAATACTTATATCATTTGATAGGCTCAAAAACATTTAAAATTAACATGAAATCAAAAAATGAAAACAAAGTTTTCTTGTTTTAAGTCAGTGGGCACTGATTCGCCATTGAGCAACAGCAGGGTGGTCAGAAAAAAATTATCTATCAAAATATTTCATTCATTTTATTTCACACGCAAAGACTAAACCAAAATACCAACATTTTTTTGCTATTTTCTACGAGGCAGCCAATAAAAAAAATGCTTAGTATTTTGCATTTTGACGCTTCCAGTCAGCAAAGAATAGTTCTTGTGAAATACGGCCCGAATCGTGTGCCTCGGACGTTTCGGTTACATGAGCGATCCGTTCCAAATACGCACTACGCTAATTCGCATCAGCTCCCCAAGAACGCATTCAGTGCACCGACTACATGAGCAAATTCGTATCAGTGACGTCAAACGGATCTAGTTTGGCTCTCGGCCCGATGCGCATTACAAACGGAATAGCATACAAATGTGGCGCACTTCCGTAGCAATAGAGGTGACTAAGTTAAATATTTATTATCTTATGTCTTTTTTGCATTTAATCTGCTCAAAACATTCTCAATTAACTTAACAAAAAAAAGTTGAACATAAAGTTGTCTTGCTTTGACTCATTGGGCAATTGCCTTTCTTGATTCGTCTGTAGTGCTGTCAGAAAAATGTTTCAACTGAAATTATGCGGATATTTACTATTTAGTTTTCACTATATTTATTGTTGAAAACTTGACAAAATACTGACATATTTTTTAAATATTATTTCAAAAGAAGAAAATGAAAAAATACCTATTATTTTGCATTTTGATGTTTCTTTTTGCGAAGAAATAGTTCCTGTAATACGTATCTTGGTCCTATTCGCTTCTAAGCCTCTTTCCCAGCGGATTTTGTTCGGACCGCCGATTCGTATTAGCAGGTGGATATATGAGTCGGTAGTACGCTCCTGATTCGCATTAGCGGTGAATCCGATCGTGATACGTATTTGCTTTGCTCATGTAACCGCGGATCGGATCGCCGATTCGTACTAGCAGGTGGCTACATGAGTCGGTAATGCGTTCCTAATTCGAATTAGCGGCTAAATACGTATTAACTGTGCTCATGTAACCCCGATAACTGAACTCTAATGTGGAACCGCGCATCGGCCGCCAGATGGTGTCCAACGGTGCCGCCATGTTGCGCAGACCAGGAAGCAGCCTGTGTTAAGGAATAGGGAATTCGGGACCTCGATTTACGTTCGCAGCCGCTGCATCCGTTACGTTCAAGCTACGTAGACACGGAACCCGGCATCTTACGCAGATTTGAGTGGAGAACGAGATGAAATCTTTAAAAAATCCTCAGCTACAGGGAACTTATATGTTAACCCTTATAAGTCAATGGGGAAATATGAAAATTGCTATTTTGGCGCCGGGAATGACCTGAAGTTATCTCAAGCATATAGAATCGTGATTCCATGCACTCCTTGCAAGGTCCGATGCTTCACGTTTGCATTGTTGCCCTTGCGTAACGTCATTTATGACGTCACAAGGGTCATTAACTTTTCTTCAATAACTCCCGACCAAATTGAGCTGGCGAATCGGGCAAGCCACAATTGGACTCAGAAAGACCTGCCGAATCGAGTGATATGCAACATAATCCCGATATTATTTGTGTGGCGATTCTAATTACTAGTTGTAACTCATGTAAATTGATTTTGATCTGTTGATTTACATAGGTGAACGAGGCGATCAAACGGACGCCGTTCGAGGCAACGTTCGGATGTCGAGCAAACCTGGGGCAGAGGAACTTTCTCGGAGCGTACCTTAGGCATTACGCACCGAAGATCTGGAGGATGTACTAAAAAACGGCCGATGCTCCACGTCCTCCGGACTCCAATGCATCAGACAGTCGCGCCAGCAGTCGCCTCCCTCTGCGCCTCTTGTGCCGGGGACGACACCCGCTGCGAAGTGTGCCAACTCGCTGTGCGTAGCCACCAGACGTGCAGTGGTGACGGTTCCCGCAGACTTTGTCGGAAGGCAGCCAGCGCCCAGCGCCATCGGAGGCAGTCCGCAGAGCGTGTTTCGTTTTAGCAACCAAGGAGAGGCGCTACCCGAAGATGCTTCTTTCTACCCCAAACCAAAGCAAACCTAACCTGACCCGACGTGACCTGACCTAATCTAACACGCGTAAATATATACAGCCCTCGCGGCAGTTGCCGACTGGCCAAATGCTACTTAGATACGAACATTAGCCCTCACGACATTTGCCGGCTGGCCAGATGCTACTTAAAAAACGAATGCGTGTTAAAACACTTGAGGCTGACCGGCTGCGAGGCAGCAACCTTTAGATTACGAGGTGGGTACACTCGGCACACTAACTACTAAGCCATGAAGATAGGTGGTCATCGCGGAGATGTAAGCCCAGTGGCGCGGGAACTATTTTCTGGCTGGGGGGGCCCGCCTGATATTTTTCGGTCTCGGTCAAAATAGAGATCAACCTAGGGTACCCCTAAATCTAGTTTTCTCACCGTTTTTAGGCCACTTATTTTTCACCCTTTGCAGTGGCGCGGGAACTATTTTTTACGGGGGGGGGGACTCATCTGACATTTGGTGGAACAGCGTTTATATACCTACCTATATAGCTGCATCAGCGTCCGGTTAACGCCCAGAAAACGAAGTTATTTATTCTAGTCCTAGCCATAATTGCACGCGTCCCTTGTAATGTATAACGAAAAACAAATAGATACTACATATAAGCCCTAGTGTCCAGTCTAGAACATCACTGAGCCAAAAAAAAAAAAAACGCAAGGACCCGAACAAGTAGGTAAGTGGTTTCTACGGTCAGCTGTTTATTAAAAACTAAATGGCATGAGATAAGCATGAGATTAAGGTCAATCAAGAGTGCCACCGCGAGATGGATGAAGCCGAGGAACACGTCTTCGCAGATGACATAGTCGCCCAGCAAATACAAGGCGACAAACGTAGTACTGAGTACACTCCGACGCCTCACGCCGCTCAAGTGACTGCTCACGTCGCTCCGAAGACTGTCATGCGCTCCTGACTGCGCCTCACGAATTCGGCTGCCATCTTTTCGAGACTGATAGCGCCTGTTCGCTCGGAGTGGACGTGAAGCAGCGCTAGATGGGTGAGCCTGGCCTGGCTGATAGTGCTGCGCGTCCACGTCTTCAGCCGCCGCAGGTACGAGAAGCTCCGTTCTGCCGAAGCGACGGTGGAAGGCTGACTGAGCAGCAGACTCAGAAACTTCCGTACCTCGCTCAGCATCTTTCTCGAAGCGCCGTCGAGGCACGCCAGCTTCCTGGCAGCGGTATGCAAAGTCAACGGCTGTTTGTCGTCGTCAAAGGCGCCTGAGAAGACCGTCAGCTGGGCTTTGAGCTTATCCACTGCTATTGATGGTGGCAAGTGCAGCGAGGTTTGGTTCGCCAGGGCACTGTCGGAGCTCAATGCGCTTAAAAACGCCACCTCGCGCTGAGAAGCGATTTTGAGACCATCACTTGCGAAGCGCTCATCGAGGGCCCTGAGCATAACGTCGAGGGCCTCCAGCATGGCTTGTCGCACTTTTGCAAGCGGTGTCAAGACCGTGTCTGGGGATGCTACACCATCGTTCCGGATTCTGCCAGGTGTGGTTGTGCTTCTCGGCTCTCGCTGTTTGAGACCGAGCCTCTCACCTCGCTGTGCTGCCGTGTTGAGCTGCCTGCTGAGGCCATCTGCTCGCATCTTGGTCAGTGCGGCTCGGAGGAGGTTGACTGACTCCAGGGCACCTCGTGATGTGCACGAGGCCGCCTGCAGGGAGGTAGCCACCTCTTCGCAGATGGAGAAGATATCATACAGCACACAAAGAGCCACGAACGTGCTGTTCTCCGACGCTTTATGCTCTAGACCGTTTACTTTAGCGCGAATGCTGCCCTTCACGGAGCTGTCGGCTTTGATCGTTTGCAGCGTGCTTCGCAGCTGATCGTAATTGTCGATAATGCGCTTGAGGGCTTTGGCTCGTATGCACCATCGAGTCGGGCACATAGCGACTAGCTTTTGCGGGTTCGTTTCCTCAGAGATCGCCTTGTAGATAGCCAGCCTTTTTGCTGACTCATTTACGACATTCACTGCGTCGCGAGCAAACTGAATGGCACTTGCCACAATCGCGATGTCTCGACTGGCTTCTTGCAGCACAAGATCGAGAGTGTGATTTGAGCAAGGTACATACAGAGCGTGTGGACACTCCTGCCTTATTCGTGCTTGCACACCTTGATGTTTCCCACTCATATTGGCGGCTGTATCGAAGGAGAATCCCGATAGTGAGTCCGTGCTCACTTGCATTCGAAGAAGAACGTCGCGAATCACCGTCGTCAACGTCTCGCCGGTCGAGTCTGGTGAGTTATATAGGCCCACAAACTCATTCACAGATTCCATGTTGCTGTTTGTGTACTGTAGGCACACCGTGAATTGTTCCATCCCGCTCACATCCGTGGTTCCATCGGCTACGAATCCGACGAAATCGCTTTGCTTTACCTCCTCCATGACTTCTCTCCACACCTCAAGAGCCATCATCTCAATCATTTCGTTCTGGATAGTGTCCGACATCCAATTGTCACGCCTTTTCAACCAGTTTAGGACTTCGGGGGCGTCTACTTCAGCTCGTTCCTTCATTAGGTTGTAGAATGGTCCATCTCGATGGTAGTGTCCGCGGATCGGGAATCCCTGCCGAGCAAGATAGCGTACTGATGAAAGCATCATGATAAGGGCCTTTCGGGCAATGACCCGCTCAGGGCACTAAAGAGTCGGGTACTCCAAAGTTTTTCCTAGTATATACTAGAATTATACTATATCATCTAGAAAAACAGCTAGAACTGGGAGCATTTTACTATATACTGAAAATCATCCTAGGATATGGCTGCGCTGAAGCGCGGCGCAGCTGGCGCTCGTGTTTTAATACATTGCGCTTCATATTTATACACAAGGCGGCCTGTGGTTTCACGCGGTGCCATGGTGTTCTCCCTTCATTTAAAGACTTACAAATTGTGCTGGCTAAGTATTTAAAGGAAGGGTGCCACCTTTTGGACACAACGCAGTTTTTACAAGATTAGCCTCACATGAACCTAAAAACCGGCTTCACTTACCTATGCTCGAGACGGTCAGCATTGAATCCGCACGTGAAGTTATCATTTGCGAGTTTTGCTGCCAGCATTCGGGCAGGCAAAAATCTTCAGCACTATTTCCTCGTCGTGTTAAGGGTATTTTATAAAACATGAAATCAGCAAAGGTATGTATAAAAGTTATACTTTTGAAGCATGTTTTATCATTTTGAAAGGGTATATTTTTTCTTTATGGTATACACTTAAGCTTTAAAATTTTAATTGGGAAGTTTTTCTAGTAAGATGCATGAAGGGTGAAGGGTTCCATAGATCTCTTAAGCATTGTAAAGGAAAAACCTTTACTCGACTTATTTGATGTTCTTTTGACGTATCTTACTTAGTTCAACTTACTTACTACAACTTAGTTCAAATCATGTTATCTTCTTCCTTTTTATTTGTTCATCTTTTTGTCTCAGTTGCGCCATCAATGCAAATGGCAGAATGATATGTTGCCATGACAACAGGATATGCCAGCCGTCCTAGCTGCCACATCAAACGACCTTGAGTTGTAGTGGTGATATAAACAACGATCTTTTTTTTTTGGCCAATGTATTAAATGCAATGTTTCGGTTTTTTGTATATTGTGGAAGCGCTAACCACGTCTAAAAATTCAAATAAGTAAAATAGATTCATAGAACAAAAATTTCGGAAGGTGGCACCCTTCCTTTAATAACTATCGTGTGCATTAAAAAATTGGCTCTTCATTATACATGGAATGGTGTGAACAAAGGCCTTTCTGAGCAACTGTGTGCAAATTTGCAAACTGCTGTACTTGACTGGGTGGTGGGCCAGCCTCATGCTTTCTCATTCTTTCACTGTTGCGTAACAATGTGTTAAAAAAAGAAGTTTCAAAGAATGTTATCGATTGTGATGCATGGCGACACCTTTCGACTTAGCTGTGAGCATATTTGGTATAATCGTACTGCAAAGATTGCGTACACCGGCTTTATCTATTTGCAATGGCAGCTTTTGTACGACATTTGTGTATTGTCTTCTATGTTGGTCGCTACTCATTTGTATGTATTTTTAGAGCCCTGACAGGCTGATGAAGGAAGAATGAAGTCTTCTGAAGGCTATCATTACTAAGAAATGAAGCTGGTGTTATGAACAGTGAACAGTGTCCCAAAATTTTATTTCAGAGTGAAAAATTGTTCTTGAAAATTGGAGATGAAAGTGGAAAATTGATTTCAGTTGGATGTCACTTCCCGCCCAAAACTGGCAAATTTTGGGACATTGGTTTTGAACAAACTTAACAATACAATATCACTGTCCCAGGCTCCAGCTGAATAACATCAACATATAACATAATACTTTGTGTAAGCATCTCATACAACTGTGTTGCTGTGATAATGAAATCAAAACACATGCATCCTGCATCCATTAAAGTGGATAGTAAGTAGAAAGAAGCATTTGTTGCCACACGTTAGTGATAATTGTGCAATTTCTTGGTAATTTTAGTTTGTATGAAAACGCGTAAGATTTAGGTGATTGAAACTAAACATGGAAGATAATTTTTAGGTCAATTTTTACTTTTTCTTTTTTAATGATGTTCTTGATATTCCACTAACACTCAAAACACACCAGTTCATAAGTTATTTCAGAGCTTTCACAATAGCCATGTCTTTGTGGTCAATCATCCTCAGAGCAGCCTGAGTCAATTACATTCATGACTTCCTTAGCCATATATCTCTGATCCTTTTCAGGACAAGACATGCACTACTACATGTATGCTGTGCCCGGCTCAAGATTCCTATATGTAGCCAGGCTGCCCTACCGACACTGGCAAAATGAATGCTTCCTTGAACAAAGCTAACCAAAGGTGCCATCAACTGTCTTAATTTGAACAGGAAGGAAGCCTAGTTTTCAACATACACAACAGCTTGTGTGAAGCTGCCACTTTCAGGGTGTGCACCACCCAGTGTTCATTTGTTAACATCAATAATGTGTAACCACGAAAGGAAACCCTTCTGAAGGTAACATCTCTCGACCATTCTAAGATCCTGTTAACAATCCACTACCTTAATATTAACAGGTCTTTTAAATAACCATGCATTATTCCTCTGATAATGCTTGTTATGTTTTCAAATAGGTTCATGTTCTTTCGTCCTGATTTTTCAAAGATAAGTATCACTTGAGTTTGTTTTTATTGCAAGTGTGATGCATGTAATTTCATCTTCATGTTTTCTCAGATCGAAGATCCTGCTCGCAGCTATGCCTCATTGCCTACCATGGCCAAAACCTCTTTGAGGTTTACCGTAGTGTTCTCCGTCTGATTGTTATGTGTTGAGGATGAGCTGAATGTTACTGATATTAATACCTGATATCTATTTGTGGTCAATGTTTAGTGTAACACCGTGACATCTTCCAATGCCAAAGTTTATTTCCAACGAGCCAAAGCTTATTTGCATTGCAATTACGAGCGGTAGTGTGATGTGTGGAACGTGTAGTATGTACGATTGGGAACCACTTACTCTGTAACCCAAAGTGGCATGTTTGCATATATGAGAATGTTCAGTGTTCATCGTCTTTAGATAATAAAAGCATTGGCATACCAGGAAGTGGATTGTTCGGTGGTCGCCTAAAATGGTATCAGAGCTGCAATGCAATTTTGACACCAATCGTGTTCGTCATGGTCAGCCACGTCGAATGATATGCTTTTTGTATGGGTGAGGTCAATTTAGGATGTTGACCTCCGTCCAAGGTCAGGTCAGGTCATTACCTTATGATGAGGTCAAGTTGCACGTTATTCCATTCGGCAGGTCTTTCTGAGTCTATTTGTGTCTTTTCCGTCTAAGATCACTGTCAGCGCCAAAATAGCTGTCTCTATATCCCCCCCCCCCCCATCGGCTTATAATGGCCAGATCACCTGACCGACCTGACGTTAGGTGACCCTTAGGAGAAATCCGAAGTTAACGACTTTTGAGAAGAAGGGAGTTTGATAAGTTCTGTAAGTTTCATATACCTGTGATAGATCTCCTTGAATTGGTGGAGTTGCTATGTTACGACGTTTTTGAGACCGTGCAGAGGTTCACTTATGACGTCATAGGTCAGTGACCTGACCTGACCTGAAAATGAGGTTGGTGCCACAAAATCCGGCTTGAATCAAAGGTCAGGTATGCCAACTTACAACCCTCCATCACCAGCGCGCTCACCCCTACTTTTCTTAGCAGCAATGGTTTGCCGCACATTAACGATAAAAGTTTTGCTCTGTCCGAGATTCGAACACAGGACCTTCCGATGTATCAAAAACATGGGGTCATATATGGACGAATATCTCGAAAACGGTTGGATGGGCTTGAACTTTTCATCCCAAAAATGGAAATAAAAATGTTGTAGCTATCTTTTGACATACTTTGTATGTGGATGCCCACACTACGAAACCTTGAAAATCGAGCGCGAAAAGTCGCATTTTAACACGCAACCCTATGGGCTAGTAGGGAAAGTCACGCCCATGCTGCCATATGACTTTGGAGGGGGCTGGACCCGCTCTTCAGCCGCAGCATTCACCAGCATCCCATCAACGCCAGGTTTGTTCTGGGCGCGCAGACCCTGGACGGCGATGCTATGGGATCCGCCTTTATCGTGCTTTGACATCTTATCCAACGCCCTTTTCCAATTGCGAAACCCTTTGGAGATAAATGCGTCATCAACTTGAGCCGAGCCGTGCAGGAGACCTGCGGCTTTTGCGGACTTGCACGGACGGCAGACAATTGCGTCCTGCTCACATGAATATTCGATCCAAGGATATTTTTCTTTCCATGCCTCTTGGAAGGATCGACCTTTTGCTCGCTTAGCAGGCGGTGGTTGTGATGATGAGGGACCCAGGGATGGCTCGGACGTAACAGGCCGATGCTCAGACGTCAAAGGCTGCACCAGAGTTTCGGATGTTGGAAGCCTTGAGATGGATGATGATGTCGCAATGTCTTTGGAAGGAGGTTCAGAGCTGCTTGGCGCTTGACTGGGAGTGGTGGGAACCAGGCTGTGGGAAAATGCATTATTTATTAATTTCTCGTAGTGATACCCTGGCAATTTACTTACTAAAAATAACCGACAAAATCGTCAACGGTTTCACGCCCAATTGCAGTGTTCTTGCCAATGGAAAACGATAGAAAGGGCTTCTATGGCCTGCCCAAATTAGCCCATAGCGAGCTAGCGCGAACTTCAGTGGTCTTAGAAAGCTTTTGAATACTGTTGCCACTGCAATGGTCAATTTTTCACACAGGTCAATTCGTCGCCCACTTTGCGATTTCATCATTCTAAAACGAACACGGGGGGTTGTCACTTGCCACCCCCGCGCCATTTCTTTCCTGGTGGAGATAGAGCTTTGCGACCAAGACCAGCAAGTATTTTTTAAAAGAGACAAATACAACGGTAGCCCTATTTTACCTTCTTAATTCAATCATTGATCAGGTGAAACTAAAAACGTAGCTATTTTTGCTGCGGTCGGGACATGTGAAATACTGCTTGCGATGTGGCTGCGCTACGGCAAGATTATGGTGTCAAAGATAGAAGAGCTTCCCGTGTTGCTACCGTTTGTCCATCTCCATAAAAAAATGCGCATTCAGGATAAGGAAGGTTTTGCCACTTTTTAACCGAAGCTGGCGTGTAGTGCCGTCACTAAATTGGCCATAACTCAAAACTATCGAACGAAATTCGAACAAATCCTCACCAACGGCGTAAAATTGATGTAGGGGAAGGTATCCCATGTTTCATGTCGATGTCTCAATTCGTTTTTGAGTTAGCGCAAATATTCGGCAGGGGGGGGGGGGGGCGTTTTCCATCCCCCTCACTCCGTCAAAGGCGGGTTAAGAACAGTCTGAAAATTTAATGCGTTGATCTCAATTCTTTTTGGAGATATGCGCGAAAAACCTTAGGTCGGGCGTAAACCCTCCTGCCACTAAAAAGGGTTAAGTATGAAGTAGGAATTCACCACTGTTATTAGATCACGGGACGGTTCTGGAGACTTACCTTCGACGCAGGAAAAACGAATCGATTTTCTGTTGCTCCATGACGCTCCCAAATCATGCGATTCAATGCACCTGCACCTTCGTCTGACCCTGGGTGGTCTGACCCACGGTCATAGAATACTAGTCTGACCCAGTCTGACCCAAGATACCTATAAGAAACAGGTAGGTCCGATGTTTTGAGTAAAGCCACAGTAAAGCCCTGGTGACGTCACAGACGTTTCTTAAATGGAGAATTTCGCCTATAAGAAAAATATTTTACAAACGAAAATTTGTGTTCTATTAGGAAAAAATACAATCTTTCAATTTCATCATGAAACTTATATAAATTAATTACAAAACTTGAAATCCTGTCAGTGTTTGTCCCAACCCCCTGCTATACCTTTGGTCACGTGACTGCCATGATAAACTTTGCGTTTTGCAATGTTATGACTAAAACTTTAGTAACAAATGTTACACGTGTATTATTTATGATGTCTTAGGCAGCGATCGTGCAATTATATTCCTAAAATATATACAATCTGTTGAAAAGAGGTCACGTGATGTTACCAAATTGTGCTCGGACAGCATCTTCTTGAACTTCGATTTTGAGTACTTTGTACCTTCATTGAGGCCTAATAACTGACGTTTTTAGTTATGAAATGAAGCAATGAAGCTAACGAGGGCAAAATTTAATCATTTTTGCACTTTCAGGCCGGGCTATCCTGGCATGAACTTCAGCCAGTTTGTGTGTTAAGCCTATGGTGAAGGGAAAACTTCACGCCCGGCTGACGTCACAGACCTCGGCTACCAAATCGTGTCCGGTGGGGGTCGGTCTGACCCGCCACGTCCACCATTCGTCGCGTCAAAACTTGCACGCAAACCCGAGCCGGCAGCATAATTTGGCTTCAGACACAGGAATGCGGCTGATTCACGCGCGATTGTGAAAGAGGTACCGTCAGTTTGAAGATTCGGCTGTAGAATATGTAGTTTTAAATACGTAGTTTGACGTAATCTCAGAAAAGTGAGATACGGCCAGAAATGAGCGTGGGTACCTCCGTTCTAAAGATTCTGATCGGCGCCGATTGAAATAATTCGCCGTGCATATCTCGGCTTGTGACCCCCCAGAGCTGGGGGGGGCTCTAATACATTACGAGCCCCCCCAGCCGAAAAGTTGGGGGGGCTCAGCCCCCCCTAGCCCCCCCGGTTCCCGCGCCACTGTGTAAGCCAGTTTTTTTTTTAATGATGCCAATGGGCATTCTCCGGGCAGCGCCTCTCTTTGGTTGCAAAAAGAAAATACGCGTCCGCAGATTTTCAAGAACACCAGGCACAGAAAATACTCAGATCGACCCGACAGTCGGTCTTAGCAGCCGGCCAGTCGGTCCCAGAACTCCGTCGGTCCGCGTCGGCATTCCAGACGTTGACCGCGCCAGGAATCAGCCTAGAAACAAACTGGCCATCATCACCGATGTGAGCAGAGCAACGAGCAGAACAACGTTATTGTTAGTCCATCTGAATGAGAATCGATTAATCTACCAGAATAGTGCAACCAAATAAAACCTAAATGTCTGGGAACCAACATGCAAAATGTGAAGGTAAATGTAAACGTAACCAAATGTCAATTTCATTTTGAGTAAAAAGGAACTAACGAAAATGTACCTTTTTCGCGCAAAGCCTATATGCCTATATTAAACTCAGAATATCGTGTAGCGGGTTACAATATTTGATATCAACAGTCTATTGCACCCGTCAAATCACTTTGCCATTTGGTTATCCTATGCCAGAAAAGGTCTCCAGTAATTTTTCGACAATGGCGTGGACATGCTAGAATGATAAGAATACAATCATGTCAAAATATGCTAATCTTATAATTATTACAATTGCTACAACTTTCTCCACTTTTCTGTTCCAGACTCGTGAGGAAGGCCTTCCTCACGGCCATACTCTGTCGCTACGTCCTGGCGTCAGAGTATGGCCGAGGCCGACTATCGGGGGTTTACTGGTGCCAGGGCATCGATCACACCATCATCAGCGTTTGTGACGATGGAAAACATTCCGGAAGGTGACCCTCTCTCACTGAGAGAAGTAGCGCGCATGGCATCGGGCAAGGGGCATCGGGGACAACGGCCAAGGCATTGTCAAGTGTCTGTCGCAGAGTTTGCACTGGCCGCTGTTGCTGCGTGAAAGATGGTCGAAAATGCCGGTTTTGGGGGAGGCCGCAGGTTTTCCCCAAAACGGTTTTATCGCTCGGCTCGCTGACCTACGCGCGCATGACGTCACTTGCGCACGAGACCTCGCGGGTGGGGTGCGGCGGCGCGCCCTTTCGGTGACCGGTCACATTAGCGACCGGGTGTGCGGCTGCGCGCACCGGCTCTTTTACCGGGGTTACATGAGCGATCCGTTCCAAATACGCACTACGCTAATGCGCATCAGCTCCCCACAAACGTATCTACGGCACCGGTTACATGAGACTAATTCGTTTTATCTACGTCAAACGGATCTTGTTTGGCTCACCCGGGCTGACTCCTCGACGGCCGGTAATTCGCATAACAAACGGAATAGGATTAGCGTACAGTCATGGCGCAGTTGCGGCATTTACAGGGACGACCGAACTA